GTTGGTTTGAAGATAAACAAAGAAGGGAGATAAAACTAGAACTAGAAGTAAAACGGTTCAATACGTTCGATATCGAGGAAATACAATACTTACAAGACAATCAGACATGAAAACGAGTAGACAATCATATAGTGTTCTGATATTTTGGGAAATGAATTAGGGTCATGTAACTGTTTTCCGCAATGGCTGTTTCGACAAGTTTTGATATCGGTACAGGTTACAGTCTTATATCAGGTCTAAACAAAGGAATTGTTCTGTCGGGCTCTCTTTCGCCATCAAGCTTAGTTGGAAATAAGTGATTGTCAGACTTTACTAAGTAGATGCCAGGGACTTTACTAGAAGGTTAAAATCGCTCGTGTTCGGCTGCAGGACAGACTTCATCAAGTCGAAAGTAAACGTGCAGATAAAAAAGAATGATGGGTGTAGGGTTCTAGACTGGCAACCAAACATCGTCAACACAACATCAGGACACACGTTGTTCGCACTAAGTTAAACGTCACCAAAACAAGACAACGTCAAGGAAGATTAATTAGAAATTCAAGATGTTACTCGTGTGGGTTAAGGATTGTCTGTTTAAAAACCAAAATAATAGTAGTCCTACAGGTGTAGTTCCATATTCGGATCAGTTTGACGTTCATACCTATAGAGATTTCTTCAAACACAGCAGATGTATTAGTTTAAATGTCGTATATTATTATTTTGCACTCTGGGTCGTATATTTTCCGGCGACTTTAGTTTTTTTCAATTCAATTTATTGAGTAATTTGGTGTGTTGAACAAATTATGGCGTTCTTTGAGCAAGAATAAAAGAACGTAAAAGTGCGATGTCGTCAACTCAACTTAGACAGCCTAAACACAACAATTGTACATTTGTCAGATTTTGATACTGTTTCAAAAAGCCAGAAGATGTTACTTTCTTTCTGTTGTCATATAATGATAAGAAAATTAATTGATATCATTTGAACATGATCCACAGACAAATCACGGATACGATAATAATACATATACACGAGACACTTACTAATTTTATTAAACCAGTCCCACTCCGAATAGAAACAAAAATCTGATTACACAAATAATGTCACATCATTGTTAAACAAAAACTTATTGTTGTGTTTTGCTACCACTTCATAACTAGAAACGATGACATGGTATTATTTACTGAGTAATTTTTACCGAAGAACTTGATGAACGTTCTGCCAAACAGTAAGATCTAAAAAGGAAATATTTTGCAATGATTCCAAATGGGCCAAGAAACTTTCTTGAAGAAAGTGTAGTTTTGACGTAAACCCCTTCCCGGCCTTATACTTTTCAAAGTGCCCGATATATTTTTACTCTAAGCGTGAGTCATCAAATTTATCAATCTTCTGCTGTGCATTTTTCTGAGAAATAGTGACAGAAAAAGCCTCTTGATTTGGTTACGAAAACAATTATAACTAGTAACTTTTTTGTTGCCGTCTCACATAATGATTATCATAATCTCAAGACACATGTTATGTATCCCTTCACCACAGTCTTCGTTCAGATAAGACCTGTCACTGGGAAGAATTTAGAAAGATAAGCAGCACTGTGAAACATCCTTGTCTCCCCTGAGCGCCGCCGTGGGAGGAGAACTAAAAAGAATGATGGTACTAGAAAAAATCAGACTTCAATCTGTATCGATGCCTGATCTTTGATTTGGGTACCAATAAGATCAAATTCAGATATGGATTTTTCTTCTTATCCTTTCCAAAACAAAATGTTTATCCTGTGAAAAATATATGTGTTGTTCTTGTTCTTGTTCTTGTTCTTGTTCTTGTTCTTGTTCTTCTTCTTCTTGTTCTTCTTCTTCTTCTTCTTCTTCTTC